GACGCTCCTCGAGACTCTGAGATCTGGAGTCAAAACTATTCCCTCGGACCCAAATGATCTTCCCACCAGCCCTGCTCAGTATCCATTGCCATCACAATTAATGTGAGAAGTGGTTCCTGTGCATGAGTTTGCACAGTTGTAATTGGAGTTTGCAACATCATTAGAAGACTCTTTAGATTAGTTCTATGATATACCTATAATCGAGATCATTTGGTATTCTCTGCATGTGTTCAATGTTACCTATCTAAAGAGATTTGAACTCGTGTGGGGAATATCTCCATGAAGTCAATTAAATAAGTTCAATTTTAGTGAAAGCTGAGATCGTGTGGCTTGGGAGATTAAGTATAGAATTTCCAATTTAATGCTTTGAGTGCGTGTGTCTTAAATCTGTGTAACTGGCTTATTCTGGGAACTGAGACCTATTTCATTTCTCAGCGAACGATGGTCCTGCTACAAATACCCTTTAAGAGTTAGATCATTAGGTTTTCTGTTGTTGTTTGAGACTAAATACCAAATGAAGAAAATGCTCGTTCAAATATAACGCACTAGAAATATGTTTCTTTTCACCAGTGACAGCAAAGGCCATCGGTGCTAAGAAGGAGCTGTAAGTTCTTTGCATTTCCCAAGTGTGGATTTAATCTACAACACATGCATTTCTTGAAACTATTTCTTTGCCAGTAAGAATCAGTCTCCTAAAGTACCCACCCATCAAAAAGAAAGGTGACATTATTGACTTTAGGAATTCTTATTCCTGTTATGCTAATAAGCAATCCCGGAAAGAGAATCGAAGGCCAGAGAGCACCGGCATTGATGCTGAAGGCTGAACCTGTGTGGTGGACTAAGGGATCTGTGGTCTAGGGGGCTGTGCATGGATTCCAACGAGTAAGACTAGAGCAAAGCAATGTGCAAGAAATCCTTGCTGGGAAGAACTAACATTTTCAAATATTGGGGTAGTCGGTTGAGGGTTGCCATTTCGTTTGGTTTTTGTTGTTTTTTGTTTGTTTGTTTGGTTGGTTGGTTTTTTTTGAGAGTCTGAGCTCTGGAGTGCACGGTTCCGGGCAAAACACATATCTGAACAGAGAACAGACAACAGAAAGTCTCACCAGACTGGGCCATGTGGCTGTAACGCACACGCAGTTTAAGTTCTCTCTCTGTCTCTCTCTGTCTCTCTCTCTCCCTCTCTCTCTCTCTCTCAAGACAGCAACAGAAACTCAATGATGATTTAGTGCTTTTTCCCTCGATCTTAGAGGAAATAGCCAGTGTGATGTCTCCGCTGATGCATCCAACGTGCCTTTCGGGGACAGACTTTATTCTGTATTCGCAGTGAAAGTAGCCGCTCTGCAGCTGGTGGGAGAACTCTGAGCGGGAAGCGGCAGCGGCTAACGCCCTAAATCAGGATGAAGGCTGAGGATTTTAGGACTTCCTTTTGATAGAAAGAAATGTGTGTGTCAGTCCTTCTGGTGACAGATTTCGAGGCACTGCTTGGGGGCTGTGGTTCAGGACTCTGGTCAGCGTGAAGGAGCATGGGCCCCATGTGTTCTTTCTGAGCCACCTTCATACACTTTACTTTCTTGTTGGTCAAACTGGAATAAGATGCCCTGCCTGCATCTTGGGGTTGCCTTGGCAATCACATGAGCTGCAAAAGGACAAGACTCCCCGGATGTGTTCTCTCCACTCACTGAAATCCCTTTTAACCCTCACGGGAACTCTTTGAAGTTATTATACCCATTATCTGGATGAGGACACAGAGGCTTAGAGAAAAGAGGCCCAAGACCACATACTAGTCAGTAACAAGGCTGGGATGAGAATTTAAGTCTGATTCTAAAACATTCGGCAACAATTGGATATGTGGTTTTCCACTTTTCCTTGAACCGGTTACCTGCTTCTTTGGGGGGCTTGCGTTCCAGCTGACAGCCCCAGGCCCTGGGTAATTGTAAGTCAATTCTTAGTTAGAGAAGCGAGCCTCGAGCCTCAATTATCGCTGGGGGACAGAAGGCTCGCATCTTTCCAGGAATTTGGCCGACCCCAGCAGGAGGCAACCACAGGCCTTTGGCAAAGGATCACTTTTCAACAACATTGTAGATTTCAGCGACCCTCGACCTTCCACCTGCAGGTCCCTGAACAGCTGCCGTTCTGTGGGGAGCAGTGGCAGCCTGTCTTCCTTTAAAAGGCAAATGGCTCCCCC